TCTTATGTCTTATTTACTCTGCCTTTGTCCAACACACCAGCTGAGGCCTCCCACGTGATGCTAAAAACCAGAGCCCCTGGGGCACCCTCATCCTGTTCCCAACTCTAACAAGAAACCCCCTAGTCTAGGATGCCAGCTTTTGGGCTGAAACACATACATTTTGCTTTTCACCTTAAAGATGTATTCATCAAATTCTACTTTCCTGACTGTTTTTAATCAATGGATGCTGAATTTTGTCAAATTTTCATAGATGCCTTTTCTGAATCTATGAAGATGCTCATTTTTCACTTTTCTCCCTAGTTCTCTCATTATGATGGGTTACATGGACACATTAACACATTCCCTCCTACTGGACAACGCTTCCCCTGAATTCTGGAATACTCCTCACACTGTCATGATGTATTATTGTTTTTCATGGGGTGTTGGATTTGTTTCAAAGCCCTTATTCTTAACTGGAGGTAAGCCCACTGGATACTCTAATGCCCTAGAAAGTTCTCAGTAAGTGGTTCTCAATTGGGGGTGATTTTGACGCCTGGGGCACGCTGGCAATGTCTGTGATAGTCTGTCTGGTTTTCACAGCTGGGTATGTGAACGGATCCTAGTGGGTAGAGGTCAGTGATACTACGAAACATTCTAAAATGCACAGCACAGCCCTGTACCGCAAAGAATTATCTGGATCATAACTTTAGCAGGACTCAGTTTCAGAAACCCTGCCTAAGGTAAACTGCAATTTGGTGTGACCCCTGGTACTTGAAAAGAGAAACAACTATTGGCTTTTAAAATACAGGCTACTGGCTTTTATATAATTCAGTCAGGAAACTGGTTCCAACAGCTGAGGGGAAAACAAAGGTGACGGGGCCGGTGGAAGCAGAGGAGGGCCTAGAAGCAGCAAATGGGCCCCTGCCCTGCCCTCTGGGTGAGGACTGCCAGCATACGCCCTGTGTGCATTCTGCTTTCAGATGCAACTTCTGAAACTCTGAATTCGTGATAACAGAAGTGAAAATAGAAAATATCGATGAGTCCAACACAGACGTTCACAAACCAGCCTAAACGCAACCCAGAGTAAGAAGTCACATGCGTGGCCGGGCTCTCACCCAGTGGTACCCCTCAGATATGAGACAGGGTTTGAAAAGATTTCCAAGTTTCCCAACCAGAAAACCCACTGCTCTGAGGAACTGCACTGGGCTTGCCTGGTTTGTCATCTGCGTTTAGGAAAGTCACAATCGATACCATGCTTTAAAAAGTACCTCCCACTTGGGATCGCCTTCGTTCTCCACCACCTTCAGGCCATGCTTGTTCTTCAAGTGCCTGTTGAACTCCCATTTGGTGCCATAAACGAAGCTGCACACAGGACACTTCAAACAACCTGAAAGCACAGACACAGGTAAAAAGAAGCATATTCACAACACATGAATTCTGCCTTCCATTCAAATGCTTCAAATCTAAGGCATGTATTTTTTTGTCTCCAGTGCTCACTTTCAATCCAAGCTTACCTAAATATTAAACAGAATAGCAACAGTATATGGGTTTTTCAGGGCAAAGGTTTAAAACTTAATGCATTTCTTTTCGTTTATTAAATGAGAATTTGCAGTGAACCTAATACACACGTAATATTTTAGGTGCCAGAGAGAATTAAGATGAGTAACATAATCCCCTTGGCCAAGTGGCTGAACAGCTTAAATGATTTTTTCATGTTTTTATTCGAAAATAACAAATAATTCGGAAAGCAAAAAATAACTGAAGGACAATGGGTGCTTTTCTCAATCTCCTTCGTCCTAAAACCCTAAGACCAAGGGCCAGATTCTCAGTCTCCTTAACATCAGAAGGGGAGACAGTGACATAAATTCCCATGTGAATATCCCGCTAAAGGACAAATGAAAAAGCTGGTCACATCCTGAAATGTCACTATTTATTTAACTGATTAAATCTTACACACGTTCTTCCAGGAAGTATCTGGATGCTTTCATTCAGAGAATATAAAACTCTAGGATAAAAAAAGAAAAACCAAAAAAAACGACATACAAAGTCACACAAAGACTATCTTTCTAAAATTATATCAGAAGCAGCAACTGAATTAGGAGCTGGACAAAAATCACTTATTTCTTTGTCTGTTTATATGAAGCAGAGTTGATTTACAATGTTGTGTTGTTTCAGGTGTACAGCACAGTGATTTAACAGGCTGTGCTGCCAGAAGCACACTCTATCCCCTCAGGAGGCTAACTGTAGTCCCGGCATCAGGCCTCCAACTCTACCAGACATTTAGCAGGCCAGAGTCAGGCTAAGTGCTGGCACCCTCAGGTGTGCACCCTGAGCTGGCCGGGGCAGTGAGATGGGACCACCAGGCACCTACTGGTCTCCCCACAGGCACTGTTTGTCTGCTCTACACCCAGCACACAAATAAAAACTCAAACAAAATCACATCTCACATAGGTGTAAGACCCTCTACTGCCTTCCCATCACACCCAGAATAAAACCCCAGCTCCTTGCTGTGGCCTGTGACCCCAGTGGCCTGGTCCCTGCCTCCCTCTCCAGGCTTGTCCCCTCCCC